TCGGGCGAGAGCCACACTTCGCATTCGCGCGCGCAACCCCGTTGTAAACGAAATGGCGAACGAGAAGAGTGTGCCCCGCTCCAGCGGGGGTTCAGCTCTCGGAAAGAATGAGCGCTGCGCCGAAGCGAGGGCGATATGTCGCACTGTCGCGCGCGACGCGCGCCCCGTCCCATTCCTGGCACTCCCGTTGCCCGTCTGATGATCAATGGGGGGAAGACGCCAATTCTTTACGCTTCGCGTATCCCCACCAGCCCATCTCACAACAGCAACTCATGCGAAGCATGCCGACAGTCGTGTTTTTCAGGCGTGTGTCCATTTGGCTCCGCATATCTCCCCTGTTCCTCCTTCCTCCCGCCTCCTTGTACATCCTCCTTGTGGGGGGAGCGGGAGAAGGACGAGGCGGAGGAGGAGGGAGAGAAAGCGCTCCTCGTGATTTGAGTCGTTTGGGGTTTCTCGTCCTGGTGTGAGTCGTTCGGGCCCTTCTTCCTGGTGTGGTCGTTCGGGCTCTTCGTGGTGTGAGTCGTTCGGGCTCTTCGTCCTGGTGTGAGTCGTTCGGGCTTCTCGTGGTGTGAGTTGTTCGGGCCCCTCATCCTGGTGTGAGTCGTTCGGGCCCCTCCTCCTGGTGTGACTCGTTCGGGCTCCTCGTGGTGTGAGTCGTTCGGGGCCCGCGTCGTGGTGTGAGTCGTTCGGGCTCCTCGTGGTGTGAGTCGTTCGGGCGCCTCGTCCTGGTGTGAGTCGTTCGGGCCCCTCCTTGTGGTGTGAGTCGTTCGGGCTCTTCGTGGTGTGAGTCGTTCGGGCCCCTCGTCCTGGTGTGAGTCGTTCGGGCTCCTCGTGGGGCCTCTTGGGGGCCTCTTGGAGCCTCTTGGGGCCTCTTGGGGGCCTCTTGGGGGCCTCTTGGGGGCCTCTTGGGGGCCTCCTGGGGCCTCTGGGGGCCTCTTGGGGGCCTCTTGGGGGCCTCTTGGGGGCCTCTTGGGGCCTCTTGGGGGCCCCTTGGGGGCCTCTTGGAGGCCTCTTGGGAAGCTCCTGGGGGCCTCTTGGGGCCATCTTGGGGCCTCTTGCGACCTCCTCAGAAGCGCAAAGAAGCGCTGCCCCCTGAGAAGGACAAAATGAGCCCAAAACCATAGTAAAATCAATGATTTTGCTATGAAGGAAGATGAGCGCGGCCCCCTCGGGAGGCCAAAATGGTGCCAAAACCATAGTAAAAGTAAGGATTTTGGCTTCACAGAAGAGGAGGGGGCTACAAGAGTGCCCCCCCGTCGGGGCCAGAATCCTCGTGAGGGTCGTAGTTTTTTGGCCCTCCCAGGAGTCGAAAAAGACCCCCCTGACCACCCGCGGAACTCCCTCTCCAGGCCCAGGGGGAGGGGGTAGGGGGAGGGGTAAACCCCTCCCCGAAGGGGAAGAAGGGGGGTTGAGGACAGAGGGGGCTCTCTAAACCACTCACGCCCTAAAGGGCTGGTGAGACTCCCGGCTTGGGCGGCCATCGGGTGGCTGTAGGAAGAGACGGAGGGCGAAGAGAGGGAGAGGGGGAATGGCGATTGGAAATGGGAAGGTGTGAAGGAAGGGGAGGAGGATAATGATTATGATGATGATGATGATGATGATGATGATGATGATGATGATGATGATGATGATGATGATGATGATGATGATGTGATGGTGATGGTGATGATCATGATCATGATCATGATCATGATCATGATCATGATCATGATCATGATGATGATGATGATGATGATGATGATGATGATGATGATGATGATGATGATGATGATGATGATGATGATGATGATGATGATGATGATGATGATGATGATGATGATGATGATGATGATGATGATGATGATGATGATGATGATGATGATGATGATGATGATGATGATGATGATGATGATGATGATGATGATGATGATGATGATGATGATGATGATGATGATGATGATGATGATGATGATGATGATGATGATGATGATGATGATGATGATGATGATGATGATGACGAGGAGGAGGAGGAGGAGGAGGAGGAGAACGAGGAGGAGGAGGAGGAGGGGCAAGGTGAGTGGGATGGGCAGGAGGTGGACGGGAAGAATGAAGGAGGAGTGGAAGAAAAAGGAGGAGGACGAGGAGGAGGAGGAGGAGGAGGAGGAGGAGGAGGAGGAGGAGTGAATGAGAAGGAGGGGGCAGGTGGATGAGGCGAGCTGGGATGCCGTGTCGTGCCGCTGCCCGACGGCTGCAAAGATGCACGTGCCGTAAAATAATGTTTCACCGGCCGTGCTCCCACTAGGGCTATGATTTTGGAGGAAGGGCCACTTCAGTTTGGGCAGGCGCCGTCAAGTCCTTCTTTGGCTATTCCCTCGGCAGTGGGCGTCGTGCCATGTTTCGGGTGCCCTCTCCCTCTGCGCGGACCCTGAGCCCTTTGCTCCTCTGACCAGCCTCCTCTCAGAATCGGTCCCAGCTTCATCCCGCATCGGTTTTTGTCCGTGGAGCGCCCCTCCTCGCCGAGTTGCCAGCCTTGCCGCCTGCCGCCACTTGGAGCACCTGGGGCTCCGCGGCCTGTGGAAGCTGGAGACTGGGCCGCTGACGTGCGTGCTGGAGGCCAGCCCGTCGTGCCGCTCTGGATAGGAGGGCGCCAACTATAGTCGGCGGGCGCGCAGAGGGGGGGGGGCTTCTACGGAGGCGAGGGGCTTCGAAGAGGGCAGGCGGCTTCTTGGAGGCCCTCCAGGCCTCCAACAAGCTTTCTTAGAAGCGTTCTGGCGCTTCTGAGAAGGCCCCTTCTGCCCTCTGGCGCTTCTGAGAAGGCCTCTTCTGCCGTCTAGGAAGCCCCACCGCCGTGTCAGGAGGCCCGCCCCCCCCCCTTGTGCCGACCCCTTGATCGCGCCGCCAGCGCATAGACATACCTTGATCCTGGCCAGGGGCCCGGGGCGGTGTGTCTGTAGGTCCATAGCTGGCGCCTTCCAGTTGAAGAGGGCCGGCTGGGCGGGTCGGCACGAGGTTGCCGTTGCGAACGGATTCGTGCATCCCAGGCCTGCAACGTCTCGAGCAGCTCGCGCCAGAGGTTTGTCGGAAATGTTCGACGCCAGGGGCTCTTGTCAATTTTCCTGCCTCGAGCGATCCCCACTCGAGATCGCGAGATGGGACATCCAGGGAGCACCCCCACATTCTGGGAATTGCGGCCGCGGCGTTCAGGGGTAAAACTAACAGCTCCAACTTGTTGGATGGGACAAATCTTTAGGGTGAGAGCCCTGTCATGGCGCAGAGATCAACAAGCAGCAGGGGACCGCGACTCGAGCAAGTTGAGTCGCTGGAGGTATACATCCAGTCATGGTGGACCGGCTGGTTCACAATGGTTGTCGGTATCTGATGGCTTTCGGCCCATCCCGCCACTGTGCCCGGGTTGTGGGGATGAAGCCAATTGAATGTCCGTTGGGATCTCGTGGGAGGCTTCTCGGGAGCCTCTTGGAAGCAGTTTGGTCGCCTCTAGGGGGCCGTTTGGAGGCCCTCTGGGGGCCTCTTTTGGGCCTTTTGGGGGCCTCTTGGGGCCTGTTGGGGGCCTTTGGGGGGCCTCTTGGGGACTTTGGGGGCCTACTGGGGGCCTGGGGCGGAAGGCTCGGATTTTCTGTTCGTGCTTTTTTGGGGGGGCCTCTTTGGGGGCCGTCTTGGTGCCCCCTTGGGCCGTTTTGTGCGCCTCTTCCCTCTTGGGCCGTTTGGGTGCTCTCTTTGGAGGCCTCTTGGGCCGTCGATGGGCGGTCTTTGGGGCCTCTGGGACGGTCTGGCCGCGTTGGGAAGCCGTCAAGGCGAGAACGCCAACACCCTTCAAAAGCCTAAGGGGAAATCCATGTTTTTGCCCTCGTAGGGCCCTCTTGGGAGGCATCTTGGGGGCCTCCTTGGGAGTCTTGGAGGCCTCTCGGGCCGTCTTGGGGGGCCCTGGGGCGATCGTTCGACGACTCGTGGCCCTCGTGGACCGTCTCGGAGGCCCCTCTGGGAGCCCTCTGGGCTCGACTTGGGGCCCGCCTGGTTCCGACAAGATCACGCAACAGGCCGCGGGAAGCCCCTGGGGGGCACGCCAAGCTCAAGAAGAGTTCAGAATTTGGGGCCTGCGCCCCGGACTGACTCCTCAGGACTGAGGACTGAGGCTCAGGGGAATTGGCAGAGGACCTGAGGACACGCCCACTCCGTGCCCAGTGGCGAAACTGAACGTCTCCTGTGATGTTGAGCAGTTCCCTGGGACCGCACTCGCCTCCCCGCTCGTTCCATCAATGTCCAGACTGGGGCGCCCGTTGGGAGACTAGTGCGAAAGAGGGTCGTGGTGCTTATGGAGATCATGCCTGTTGTGCCACCCTCGAGGGTGGGGACGAAGGAAGGGCGTAGACTCCTTGGAGATACTCTTTGGCCCACAGGGGCTTCAGAGACCGCCGATGAGCCTCGAACCCAGAATCACTCCAGATACGTTCCCGTATTCTCGAACGAGATGAGCAGAAGGAGGGGGAGAAGGAGGAGGAGGAGGAGGAGGAGGAGGAGGACGAGGAATGGCAGGGCTCACCCCTTGAGATATTCCAGTTGGTCTATACCCCCATGAGTTCGTATTGCAATGGTTTCTTATCGCTGGCATGGACTTCAGTTGTGTGTTCAGCGGGAAGCGAGTGTGATCTACACATTCACCCGTAAGCGACGTTGTATCATCCAGTCGATTTCCTTAGTTGATAGCGTCGTTGTTTGCTGCTCGTATCTTGTGGATGCATCCGTCCGCATCCTCACCCGAGAGCCTCTTTGATGTTCGCTTCTGGACGTAGTGCAGGTTGTTCCAGGCCCTGTTGTACGGCACATCGCGTGTCCTATTATTTCATTGTTGGTGCCTTTACCCGTGCCACGTGCCACGCGTTGTTGCGGAATCATGGCTGGTATGCCCAGCGCGTGTCTTCGTGTTCTTCTTCTGGCATTCACTATTTCCGCGTCTTCATTCTCCCTCCGAGTCCTGTGTTTTCGTGGCTTTTGACCTCGGTTCTGCCCCTTCGCTTAGCACCCTTTCTCGCAGTATCATTCCCAGCCAGCTCTACCCTACCCCCTCCTCCCTCCCCCTCCCCCTCCCCCCAGTGTACCAGTTTCTATATGTTCCTTTCTCTTCCTTTCTCGCCTTTCAATAAGCACATCACATAAGAATTCGGCCTGTCAGCGGCTGCCCACGTAAACTTTTCCCCCGATCGCCCCAGGGATCCACAGAAGCTCTGAGGTATCCTAGGGCCCAGGGTGATCGAAGGAGAACGTACCCCACGTTTTCTCAGTACAGTACATGTCAGATGTTGGAAACAGGAATTTCTGCATTCCCAGATTCCGCTCTACTTCAAGCGCCTTTCTATTTCAAGAATCGATATCATGTGGCTGCATATTGTTATTCTCTGGGAGGGCCTGGGACCAATCTACTTCATCCGCCTTCCCAATGCATGTGTCTACCTTTTTTTCCGCCCCATGGCCCCTTCCTATTCATCAGCCGCCCCATGCGCGTCTTCCCGCTGAGCTCCCCTCCGCTCGGAACCTTCGTTACGTTGCATCTTCGGGGGACCTCGCCTGTCCCCAACGTTGGTGGCTTTTCTTGTGCCCGGCATGCGGACTCGACGCGGATCTGGCGTGGATTCGACGCGGATTCGACGTGGATTCGGCACGGATCCGACGAGGCCGACATGGGTTCGACACGGATTCGACGCGGACAGGGCCGCCACGGGACAGACAAGGTCCTCCGAGGATGCAATCTATCATTTTGACCGAGGCCTGCAGCCAGTTGCAGTCGTTGGACCTCACCTTTTGCAGCCGGGTGTGGGGACCCGACGTCTTCAGGGCCGCCGCGGGGCACAGCCAGGAGTTGTCGGAGCTGCTGGTCAGCGGGGCGGCGCCCCCAGACTTGGCGCGGGGAGGAGGAGGAGGAGCAGGAGAAGGCGTAGCAGAACGAGGAGGAGGAGGAGGAAGAGGAGGAGGAGGTCTTCGAGGAGGATGGAGGAGAATGGAGGACCAGGCTGAGGAGGAGGAGGAGGAGGAGGAGGAGGAGGAGGAGGAGGAATGGGAGGAGGAGGAGGAGGAGGAGGAGGGAGGAGGAGGAGGAGGAGGAGGGAGGAGGAGGAGGAGGAGGAGGAGGAGGCGAGGCGGAGGAGGAGGAAGGAGGATGCAGGAGGCTGGGCTGGATGGGGTGGGTGGAGGGAGGTGGAGGAGGAGAAGGAGGACCATCGACGAAGAATAATCAGCGCGGAGCAGGACTCGCGGGGAGGACGATGAGGACGACCAGGACGGAGGAGGGTGGAGAAGGATGGAGGATGGAGGGTGAGGCTCCCGGTCCGATGGCGAGTTGCTGCCGCTCCGCAGGAGCGGTGCGGGACCCCAGGTCGTGGCGCAAGCCGCCGAGGACCAGGCTCCGCCGCTCGAGCCATGGCCTCTGCCCCGCTCGGCGGGCCGCCTGCCTCTCAGCGGGCCCCCAGGTGGGCGGCGTGGACGACGAGGCGGTGCTGAGCCTGGCGCTCAGCACGGCGGGCGCGGCCATGCGGCACCTGGCGATCGGGCGCTGCGACATCACGGCTCAGGCGCTGAAGGCCCCGCCTCGGCCCGTGTTCCCCGGCGGTCCCCCTCGATCCGTAGGCCAGACGCCCTCGCGTCGTGAACCCATCGTGTCGACCTTGTTTGCCATGTTCTGCCTCCTCGCCGGGTCCTGGGACCGCCAAAACACAATTCAAGTTGAACAACCAGTCCCTGGGAATGGGGCGAGACCTCTTCGACTACACGTGAGAGTGACCCTTCGCCCGAGTGACCTTTGGTGTGGGCTCATCGCGGCCTCCCCGATCGCTAAGCGCGAACACTCTTCACCATGGTCACTCCTGCGTGTAGCCGACTTCTGGGGGACGACGTGGTGAAACAATCATGATGTCGGGGATCTGGGAATCGCTCGAGTTCCCAGGAGTGACAGCAGCAGCAGCAGCAGCTTCAGCTTCACCCGCGCGCCTTCGACCCGAGCCTTGACGCCCTCGCGTTGTGAGGGTAATCTGTCGAAGGGTCAAATTATATGCAGCTGCGAGTGCTGCGAGGCAGCGAGGAGAAGGATGGAGACGACCAACAGGACGGACTGGGGCCCATGTCCTTTCGAACGCGGCGCCGTGCAAACCCTGCCACTGGTGCCTTCGGTGGAGCTCCCTCTGAGGCCACGATCCTCGTGAGCGGCGTGCCGAACTGGGCGGGGTTGGACGCATGCGGACCCTTCCGCTGGGGCCTTCGGTGGAGCTCTTCATGGGGCCATGGTCCTCGTGAGGGATGTGCAGAAATGGGCGGGGAGACGCATGCGGACCCTGCGGCTGGGGCCTTCGGCGGATCTCGTCATGGGGCCACGGTCATTCTGAGGGGTGTGCCGAAATGGGCGTGGGGACGCATGCGGACCATGCCACTGGGGCATTATGAGGAGTCCCCTATGGGGCCACGACCCTCGTGGGGGTTGTACCGACATGGGCGGGAGGTCCTCGTGAGGGTGTGCAGACATGGGCGGGGGGGGCGAATGCGGACCGTGACGCTGGGGCCTTCGACGTAGCTCCTCATGGGGCCACGATTCTCGTGAGAGGTGTGCCGAACCAGGCGGGTTGGCGCATGCGTATCTTGCCGCTGGGGCCTTCGGCGGAGCCCCTTGTGGGGCCACGGATCCTCGTGAGCGGTGTGCCGAAAAAAAAGGCTTGGGGACGCCAGCGGACCCTGTCACTGAGGCCTTCGGTGAGGCTAATCGGGCCACAATCCTCTTGAGAGGTGTGCCGGAATGGCGGGGGGGTGCATGCGGATCTTGCCACTGCGGCCTTCGGTTGAGCTCTTTCTGGGGCTGGAGTGCACCGAAATGGGCGGGGGCGCGCATGCGGACCCTGCCAATGGTGCATTCGGTGGAGCTCCCTATGGGGCAACGATCCTCGTGAGAATGTTGTGCTGACATTGGCTGGGGGGCGCACGTGGACCTTGCCACTGGTGCCTTCGAAGGAGCTCCCCATGAGGCCACGATCATCGTGAGGCGAGTGCCGAAATGGGCCGGGGGACGCATTCAGGCGGACCCTGCCACTGAGGCTTTCGGTGGAGCCCCCTATGGTGCCACGATCCTCGTAAGGGGTGTGCCGAAACAGAAACATGCGGAGCTGATGGCAGATGCACGGATGGGGGAAGGAAGGAGGAAGGAGGAAGGAGTGACGCGGCACGCTGTCTTTTTCAAAACGAGGACCCAACACCATAGGAGAGTTGGGAACAACCACGTATACATGTGTATATGTATACACACACCAATAAATAAATATCCGGGCGAAGGGCCCAACTATCTGCTGTTGTGAGTCATGCGTTGTGGATACCGCTTTCGGTGGAGATCCCTATGGGACCACGGCCCTCGTGAGGGGTGTGCCGAAATGGGCCGGGGGACGCATGCGGACCATGCCACTGAGGCCTTCGGTGGAGCTCACCATGGGGCCACGATCCTCGTGAGGGGTGCCGAAATACGCTGGGGGGCGCATGCGGACCCTTGCCGCAAGGGTCTTGGGGTGGAGCTTCCGGTGATACCATGGGGCCACGGCCTTCGTGAGGGGCGTGCACATCGGCGGGCGGCGGACCCTGCCTCTGGGGCTTTCGATGCAGCTCCCCATGGGGCCACGACCCTCGTTAGGGGCGTGCCGACATCGGCGGGGGGGGCGCGTGCGGACCCTGCCACTGGGGCCTTCGATGGAGCTACCTGTGGGGCCCTGGCCGAAATGCGCGGGGGGGCGCATTCGGACCCTGCCACTGGGGCCTTCGGTGGAGCTCCTTATGAGGCAACGGTCCTCGTGAGGCGAGTGCCGAAATGGGCGAGAGGACGCATGCGGACACTGCCACTGGGGCAATCGGTGGAGCTCCCTATGGGGCCACGATCCTAGTGAGGGGTGTGCCGAAATGGGCGGGTGGACGCGCGCGTACCCTGCCACTGGGGCCTTCGGTGGAGCTCCCTGTCGTGCTTCAAAACGTGTGATGGATGTGCCGGAATGGTGCACATACGAAGAGCAGAAGCAGATATGGGGAGTGAGTGGACGCAGGGCGTTGTCTCTTCAAAAGGAGGACCCAACACCACAGGATAGTGTGTAAAGACTGGTCCCGGTGAATGGGTTGACACCTCTATGGGGTCGACGTTATGATGAAATCATGATGTTGGTGGAGGAGGAGGAGGAGGAGGAGGTGGAAGAGGCGGAGGGGGAGGTTGAGGGGGAGATGGAGGGGCAGCAACAGAAGGGTCAGCATGAGACGGGGTCAACGAGTTCCGCTGTCTTGGTTTTGCGCCAGTTGCCGCAGCCCCACATGGCCTGAAGTGTGTCTCCAAGGGAAGAGACGGCATCACCCTTGCCCTGACCCTCCGTTCTCTTCCACTCGTCCTGCTTCACTTCCATTCCTCCTCCTTTGCGCTTCCCCCTTTCCCCCTTTCTCCTCATCATCTTCCCCACTCCTCTTCCGCTTCCTCCCTCCGCTCCCACTCCTCCCCTTGCCCCCTTCCCCTACTCCTCTTCCCCACTCCCCTTTCCCTTTCCTCCCTTTCCCCTCCTCCTCCTCTGCCCCACTCCTCCTCGGTAGCCAGCAAGCGCAGATAGTCAAAGCCCGCCTTGTCGTCGCCTGGCCGACAGCTCTACAAGAGTTCCGGCTTGGTCAGGCTGTGGGCTCGGAGGAGCCTCGCGAGCTCCCGGCCCCGGCGGCCCTGCCCAGCGGAGCGTTCGGGGCCCAAGGGACGGGTACCAGCGCAAACGGTGGTCAGCCAGAGCGCCAGGGGTGTACTGACCCAGGTCAGCGTGCAGGATCCTGTAGGATTCTGCAGGACCGTTCAAGGCCTGACTGACCCCAGTCTGGACTGACCCGGGTCAGAAGTTCCCCGAAGCATGCTCTGAGCTGCTGAACAAGGAGCAGGCACACTTGGTCTTCTGACGCGCTGAAGAGTCGAGTCAGCGGGTGCCAAGGTCGAGCTGGGACGCGGGCGAGATGATCAGTTTTCCTACGCACGCGCACTTATGCGCACCGTGTCACCCGTCCCGACAGCCCGTTCCTGCTCCGCCAAGCGCGCTGAACCGACCCCGCTCATGATCCCACCCACCCCAGTTTTCCTCGCGAAGGGCAGCCCTTGTCCAGCCTCCCCGCGCGATCCAAACCTTCCACGTTCATCGCTCGATCAGGTCAGACCCCTCCCCATCCCCCTCCCATGCACGCTTCGGCGAGGGATTGCCAAGCACCGCACCGTTGGATCAGGGGGAGCGGAGGGACGGTGGAGGGTACCCCTCCAGACGCGAGGCCAGGGCGGGCCGATGGGGCGACGGAGCGCGCCGAGTCTACACGGCAGCGGGACCCGGCGCTGTGTCGCGCGTAGCTGATCCATGTTTGCGCTTCTTCGACAGGGGTGGCCGCCCAGAAGAGGTCCCGTCCCTGATGGGCCTGTTTCCCACCACCACCCATAAGTTGGAGGGCGAGGGGGTCCTCCTCCTCCTCCTCCTCCTCCTCCTCCTCCTCCTCGTCCTCCTCCTCCTCCTCCTCCTCCTCCTCCTCCTCCTCCTCCTCCACCTCCTTCCCCCCTCCGACTAGTGGTGGTGGTGATGTAAGACAGGCCCGTCAGGGGGGGCCGCCCAGGAGAGGTGCCGTCCCGCCAGCGCCCCGCAGGGCCGCTGCTCGCCTGCGCCCGTCGGCCCGCCCATCGGCGCGGCCGCAGCGCGGCTCCGATGGCCCCGCGAGCGCGGCGGAGTTGTGGCCGGGAGCGGCGTCGCCCCAACACTCGGGGGCAACGATAGGGTCATGATGCTCCAACTGACTTTAGCCTTGATCACCAGGAAGAATTCCGAGCGCCCAAACAAGTACCGAAACTCCAGGGCTTTACGTGTCGGGCCCAGGGAGACACTCGCCCGATGCTGTTTCGACACTCTCTCGACACTTTTCCGGGTGCTCGAAATTATTTCTGGGATGCGGTCCTTAAGTAGGATGGGAGCAACATAACGATAAAGGGGGATGAGCATAGGGGGGGATGCATCGACCCCCAATCGCCCATTGATCGCCGATAGGGGTCCGATAGCCCCAACCCGCTCAGGGAGGTGCGGACTCACTATCGGGGGCCTATCGCCGATCTATCGGCGATGTATCCCCGATTCCAGTTCGATGCATCCCCCCTATGCCAGTCCCCCCCTATCGTTGCCCCTCAAACACACTACCAGCGTTTTCGAAAAAACACGCCCAAGTACAACGCCTAGAAGATGGCGAAAGAGCGGCACCCGCGCCCCCAATTTCAATGTTCGACTAAGGGAACAGGCCGCGGTTTGCAAATGTGGGCGTTTTTGTTGTTCGACCCGACTCGCACTCCCCCGCGTCGACCGCCCCGAATCTTGGAAATTCGGGGCCGGGGGGTTGGACCCCCTCCCAGCACGCATTCGAGATGGGCGTCTTTTGTTCGAAATCCACGGCATGAACACCCTGTGTGCGTCGCCCCCCAGGGGGCGACGCGCGCCTCGAGGACTCCTTCAGCACGTGCCTCGTGGCGGGCTCCCTGCGGCCGTGCCGCTCGGGAGACGGCGCACCTGCAGGGCGGTGA